TTGTCTGGTCGTCGATTGTAAGTAGATCAGGAAGGTGGCCCGGCAAGACCTACAGCAGTGGCGAGGCTTGAATGATCGATGTGACATTTCCCCATTTGAAGTGATGGTAAAGAATCGATTATTAAGGTGTTCGTTGCAAACACCCTGGTTACCGATTCTTTTCCGTAGGTTTAAATGGCAAATCAATCTATATATCGCAAAGCACGCCACGCAACTGGACCGGTTGTCAAAAATAAGATTGTTTTTTGACGTGGGTCGTCGGGGTCATCTTAGATGGCCTCCTCTGTAGGGTGACATGATATCTTGCATCGAAGTTTCCCTGACTTTTCAATTTTTTTTTCTTTCTTTCATTTTTATAAACATTATTTTCACAAAACAATTTTGGCGTGTGGATGCTTAAAATACGAAAAAATTATATGTTTTGGCCGGAAAAGAGGATATCATGGTTTCGCAGCAGAATTCTCTGACTTTTCCTTGACTTTTCAAAGTTGGGCCAAGTTCCCTGACTTTCAAATCGTCCAGAAAAAGTGTGCCGCTCTCTGATTGGTCGACTATCATGGAGCCCCAAAGTTGGCCCAATGTAAACAAATCCCAGCCAGAGGCGTGGCGTGCTCTGCGATGTATCGATTGTTATGGCATTGAAACCTATAGAAAAGGATCGATAAACAGGGTGTTCGCAGCGAACACCTTAATAATCGATTCTTTACCATAGGTTTAAATGGCATGACAATCGATAAATCGAAATTCACGCCACGCCACTGATCCCAGCCCCTCCGTTCCTAGTTTGGCCCAAAGAAACAAACAAGATGGTGGAAAAGTTTTAAAAAGTTCTAGACTTGATTTTCGGTGTGATAGAAATTATTTATTATCCAACTTCTGAATTGAGTTCGGATCGAACTTTGATGAATATTTTTGCCGAAAATTGAGCTTTGAGTGTGATTATCATTCAATTCTCAGCCGATAAAACTTGTTCCTCCGGGTCGGGTTTGTTTACATTGAGCCAACTTTGGAGCTCCATGACAGCCTAAAACTGATGAACCAATCAGAGAGCGGCACAGAGATGGCAATACTCCTCCGTATACAGGTACTCTAATTTTGATGGTGGAAACAGGCCCACAACGTATTTGTCTCGCGTTTCTTCATTCTTGTGCGACAGAATGAAATTAAAACGAAGTCAAGGAACGACAACGCTGAGTAGGAGTATAATGGTCACATAATCCTACCTGTGGATAGATTGAAGATCTTGGATTCCAAGTCTACGCAATGAGGCGTCGTAGCGCGCGCTCAGCTCAGACTCTTGACCCAATTGCGGCATCTTCTTAGCTATCGAAATTCTCACGCGCCCATCTCTGCGTCTCGTAATTGAGCCCATCCCTAGGCCCCCGTGCTATGGAACAACGCCGTATGAGGCCTCAAATATTCCCAAATACCCTTCGATTAAATAAGAATTTTCAGGGAAATCCGTACATATTTTACTTCCAATTTTTTGGGGAATTTACTTCGCAATCAGATCCAAATTATCTGAAATTTTTACGAGAAAATATTCATAAATCTCCCTAAAAATGAACATTTAATTGGAGGAAATGTGGCAACTTTCGAATGTTCATAAAGCGGTTTTGCTCAGCACGGCTATGGGCCAATGGGGCTGTCCGGGTCCTACAAAATTCATCTGTCGTTGCATCACTCGCAGTTTGGCGAGACCACGGATTCTGTGACAAGGGCTAACTAAAACTAGGGTCCGATTTAAGGGTGGCACATTAAGGGGGCGAATTTTGTCAGCCCTTTCACATGGAGATGCAACATCCATCGATGAGTCCAGACGGCACCACCAGCCAATCAAAAGCGCTAAGCCGGACTGAAATGTAGCTGAGACTCGTCCTGAGTATATTTAAGTTCCTCGGACCAACCTTCGGAAGGACCAACAAAAGACTCCAGGCGCTAATGCAACCAGGGCGCAAAAATGAGAGGAAAGAAGAAAAAATGAGGAAAAAGAGAAGAGGAGAAAGAAAGGGTGACGATAAGTATCGAATATTTATCGAGACGCACGAATAGCAAGATATTCGGAGACATTGCTATCCCGTGTGAACCCAGGGTTCGATTAGGGATAATTCAAGATTAGGGATAGCGCTACCAGTCACCACTGAGAATTCCACTTTCCTTCGACGATTACTGAAATAATATTCCTTAAATTACAAAAAACAGATCCACAAGATGTAGATTATTTTTTGCCTGATTTTTTGAGCCAAAAATATTGGCAATTAGAATTACAAGTGAAGAAAAATTACGGCTTAAAATTTCAGCTCAGCGGCGGCGGCCGAACGCGCAACCGAATCCCTCATGTTCTGTCTCTCTATCTCCCATTCCCGCAATGGGAATTACTTTCCGCCGTAGTTACGACTTTATTTTTGGGAATTTTGAGAAGATTTTTTTACTGAGTGTTCCTCAAGTATGTAGCTATATCCCCTGGATCTCCAATCTTGAACAAGTTTTACGGTTTTTATTATTTTGGCAAATATATACGGCGATTCTGAGCAGCGCGACGTGGTGGCCAAATCACGAAGTTCCAAGCCTGGATTCACCTTTAACTGGAACCGATGAAGAATGTGCGATCCCGTTGGTGATATCGTCTCTCGCCTTCAATTTTGCAACATAGGCATCAAACATACTGGTGTGCGCGAATAGTTATCTATTCGAAAAACACATGATCACATCGCTCCACGAACCTCTACAGACCCGTTGAACGATGTTTTCAACCTTTTGGTAGGTATCTTCCATCTGAAGTTCACCTTCAGTTTGGCTACGTGGGCAACCAATCTCCCGGAGAGGACGAATTTCAAGATTTACCTATCTATTTGAATCTATACACACACTAATCTTGCTGCACATACCTTGCTCAACCCGTAGACCATGCGTAAACCTATCGATAGAAATCTACCACTCGAAGTTCGCCTTCAATTTTGCCACATAGGCAACAAGCGCACCATTAAGCATGAATAGTGCTTAACCTATTACCTTTTTTGTGACTCAATGCGTTTCTCTTGACGTATTCAAAATTCTTAGGTCAAATTCAGTCATTTCCAATCTGAAAAGTATCCTCTCGCGTAAATGAAGAATTTGTTTATGTTGAGTCGGTAGCTTTTATTTTGTTTTTGGAGTTTTGGAGGTTTAGGAATCGTAAGTTATAACACATACGTATTTTTCCTTTCAAAACTCCCCACTCCCCGTGTAAGGCTCCAAAATACCTGAGCCTTCCACGCTAGGGTCAATGGAAATTCGGTCATCGTTGACCCCTGATCCAAGTTAACGAAGAAATGACTCATTCTACTCTAAAGTTTAACCCTTTTTCCCTATTGAAAAAAATTTCAGGATATTCGTTTTACCATGTATGAAAATTGGCAACCACGGAACCCAACACGAACCTAAGATTATCGATGGAAACCCGATCATTTTCATTCCGCTCTCTCAGCCTATCCCAACATATCGCGGTCAGTGACGTGGCGTGCTTTGCGATGTATCGATCGATATTCCATTTGAACCTATGGAAAAGAATCGATCAACAGGGTGCTCGCATCAAACTTTTTAATAATCGATTCTTTGCCATAGCTTCAAACGGGGTAATTTCGATAATCGATCATTTTCGCCTCCCTACTGTTCCCTTCCAAAAAAAGGACCACGCGGCTCCCGGTCGGGTCATTCGATTTCACGGCGCCGCGACGCTCTAACGACCGTACGTGGCGTCGCGACGCACGCGTCCCGGCGCATATTGAACGTGGTGGAACGGAACTCGGAAAGCTCGGCGCGTGAAAGTATGCCTATAACTTTATCGAGAGATGATTGCCGCGGTGCTCATAAATTGACCCGGCGTGCGTCACGGAGCCCTGGGTCCCCTATGGTGAGCGTCCGTGACCGAGGGATGGCCTTGAGACCCCCTTGCCAGATACTCCTCTTTAATGGGATATTACGCTGTCGTGTTACCGAAGAGAGAGGGAGAGAGAGAGAGAGAGAAGCACTGAAAAAAGTTATTAAAAACATTTTTTAGTTGAAATATAATAATAATAAAATTAAGGGGCTTGGAGGGCAAGGCGCATTAGTGCAGCTCTCGCTATTTCGAGAAGTACGTATTTGAGTTTCGAAATTGCATGGATCTTTATGGCGGAGAGAAAGTTCATACTGACATTTTGATGCTAAAAAATTGGAATTTCGGAGCGAATTTTTCACAAAATATGCATTAAGCCTAGTTCTACTTGAAATCATTAACATCTCATTTTTTCCCTTTTCTTTTCTTTCAAAACCTGCACTTGTGCAGTGTGCACCTATGGTCCTCCAAGTCCCTCAACATTCTTTCATTTGAATACATTTTTTACGGCATGGTTTTTTTTTATTTGAAGAACTTTTTTGGGGGGTGAAGGACATTTTATTTTTCAAACAAATGAGTTTTTGTTTTTTAATTTAGAGAAATGAAAGCTCATCATAAACGAGAAACTTAATTTTCTTTGAGAAGAGAATTCTTTTGAATCAAAGAAAAAAAATAATTATTTCCCTTTAAAACGTCTCAATGTTTTAACTAACCCCCTAACGTCAAGTATTTTTTTTTAAATAGAAGTTAATTTTTTTTTAAAATTGAAAAACATATTATTTCACCATTTTTTTAGCGAGCAGTATCGCCCAAATTTTTAAAATCGACTTTCTTTCAAAACTCAACTAATCTTATCAGCACGGACCGGCTGATATAATTGAAACAGCAAAATTTGTCTTATGTTTACGAAAAAGTGAAAGTTAAAATTCGGTAAAAATTTAATGCACTCATACCTCGTCAAGGAACTTGAAGGGATCTTAAGGAAGGGGGGAAGAATTTGGAAAGGATGAGGACAATTTTACTGGGGCGGGGTATGCGTTAGACGTCTCTTGCTTAGCAAGAAAGCGAAATGAACTCGCGACTCTGATAGTATTCTCGGAATGCTAAATATATTATAATGTTTTTCCTTTTTTTCTGTTTCCAGGTGCCATGGTTCAAGCTTGTGCCTGGGTTAGCGACCACCCTCCTGACGTTGTCTTTAACAGCGTCTCTAGGAAACCACCTACGACTTCCCCGAATAGCATATCAGAATGGAGGAGGTCAGTATTTCAAAATTTCAATCGAAAGGTTCAGGCGATTTAAGAATATCAAAAATCCATTCAGGATTTTCTTGCGTTTCTTCCTTACCTAATTCCCTAACTTTTGCTGATTTGCCCCTGACTTTTTTTTTTTAACCATCCTTCAAATTTCTTTTATCTGACGTTCAAACAAGACTTCTATTAAACTTTTTTTAAAGATGCTTTTGGTAAGGTATGCTCGAGATGTTCACCTCTAGAAATTCAAATGATAGAAACCGAGTGTGCACATTTTTATGCCCCGCGCGACTATGACGAAACGACACGGCATTACCGATGAGCGCCAGAGTTTCGTCGGCCTTCATTTTGAGCGAGTAGGCAACTATTTCGACGTGAAGGAGCTATTTTTGCCTAACGGGTCGGATTGAAGGCGATCAACGCTCCGTCTCGTAACTAACCATGCATCGCGCCTCTATTCGAAAATGTTTTTGATGAACATCCTTAAGTAGCTATGAATGTAGATATAACTCTTCAAGGGAATAGCTTTAGACAATCCCGTTGCTGAGAAAATGACCTTAGACATTGTCATTTCTATAGACATGACTGTAGAAATATCCATATTTTATCCATAAAAGTCCATTATAAAAACCAGAGGTACAATTGATGGCAATGTGTTTTCTATGAGGGCGAGGAAACTTTATCAATTCCAGAATTTTTCAACCAGATTAATGGACTAAAATAAATAAAATACTAACATTAAGATTAATCATCTAGAATATTCTGATTGAAACGTATCGGAATTTACTAAATCTGATCGAATAATCGAGAAAAAATGCCTAAAAATGATTATCCACGTTTGATCTACGAGATGAATTATCTCCCACATTTACGAAGTAGTCTTTTGAATCGTTTGTAATTTTGTTTTCAGGTTCATTTTTGGTCGCGTATGCGATCATAACAGTTTTCCTTGGCCTCCCCCTTGCATTTCTAGAGATTGTTCTGGGTCAGTTCGGTCAGCAAGGAACTACGAAATTATGGAGAGCAGTGCCTCTGTTCAGAGGTAATTCCATCTTCAATCGCATGCAATTTTACTTGTTTCATTCCAACAAACATTTCCGCATTTTCACTGATCCGAACCTCTCAAAAAAGGATTCAAGTATATACATAGTATTGTCGCTTAGATTGGCGAAATTTTGTCTTACCGCAGAAAAAACTAAATGCTTGCGATGAAATGAAGCTTTTATAAATAAATTAGAATTGATTTCTTTTCTCATCACTGTAAAATCTGTGTATCACTGTAATCACTAACATCTGTAAATCTTACGTTTAAAGATGGCGTTCAAAGTTGCGCTGTGTCGCTCTTAGAGAAAATAATAAGAGCGCCTTCACCCTATGAGCCTGCAATATGCACAGCCAACGAGCAGTAATAGTTGTATCCAAGCCAGGCGTTACAATTAACGTTTGCCTCTCAGTGCAATAATAACCAAGGCGAATTCTTCGATTTTGCCTCTGGTAGTTCATGTGCTACGAAGCTTTCAGATCCTTAATTTCAAAAGTGTTTTTGGAGTGACAGGAAAAACTAATCAAAATGTTTCTGTTTCTCCCTGCAGGCGTGGGGTTCGTGAAAGTGATGGTATCCCAACTCTTGGCCGTTTATTATCCGGTTTTGATGGGTATATCGCTTTTCTACGCTGCCTGGAGTGCCAAAGGGCCTTTGCCATTTAGTGAATGTGTCAACCCTTCAGCGCAAAGACCTTTCATATCGGTAAGCTTCCATCGCTGTTCACATGTACGCAAAAGACTACGCAACGCATGGAATATTGTTAAATTTGGCGCCGGCTAAATTCGAGAATCTTTCACATGGTGTTCCCTACGAACTCCTGAGTATGATTAGCTTTTAAAATCGAAATTTTCATGTGTCAATCTCAAAAACATTGGGTCTGGAAAGTGAATTTTTTACACTCTTGCCGTTGCTCACCTTTGCCTTTTTTACTTTTAATATCTAGCAAATATTTTGCAAAATGTTTGTGGTGATCGGGGAGATCTTTTGTTTCGCCACAAACCGAGAAGATAAAACAGACGAAGCAAATCATTCATACGACTAAAACGTAAATTAGTAGTGGAGATTTTGAGACACAGCAACCAAGAGATGACCTTTTTGCACTCAATGTATCAATTACGTCTAGTTGTAACCTATGAATTTGTGTTTGCTTCCTTTTTTTTCAGAATAATAGTCCGAAAATAGCCAATGGGGAGCTATGTTTACAGTAAGTATTCACCTTTATTATATTTTAAAAGGTTTAATTGCCTACTGAGAAAAAAAGTTCTATAGAAGATACTGAGTTTTGGTTCACATTGAACCCCGAACTTTTTGGGTTCAAATAACCAACGTCTTCAGTCATTAGAATCAAAATTCGGTTTCTGTGACTGAAAACATAATTTACCTGAATTGAAAAAATTCGGTGTTCAATATGAATCGAAATTCTTTATCTTTTAGGTATAGAAAGGACAGACGTAGATAACATTTTAGAATTGAATGAACAGACACTTAACTTTATTTGAAATACATTGCCCGTTTTTCATACATTTTCTCCGACAAAGCATAATTGATGCTAACTTTATAAACATACCTATAACGTTCACATTTTAAGGGTAAGTTGTATGGACATTTTTCTGTTGTCCATCCGAGAAATTAAGTAATTAAAGTAATGTTCTTCAAAATCAAAGGCTTTTGCAAGTTACCCATGTCCTAAAAGTTGCATATTTTATGAGTGGATCCTATTTTAACGTCGATTCAAAATATATTTTTCATTAAAATAACAAGTCAAAAAAATGAATGGTAAGTTTTGCCAAAACATGCCAAGTCTGAAATTAAAGTCTAGTTCATCAATTTAATTTCTCATATTTTCTTTCAGGAACACGTTTATCAAACCAGTAGATCAAAATGCTATGTGGTTTGGAGTAAATGTTGCGCTTCTTTTTTTAATATGGACGGTGCTTTTACTTTGGTAAGTCATACAATAATCAAAATCCCCTCTCCCTAGATCGTTCGTTTCGTTTCGTTTTATTTATTTTTTCTTTAAGTAAGCTTAAGAATTTGTTTTATTTTTTATTTTGTTTACTTAACTATTGATGATGTTATGTTACATTCCTTTATTGTTTTGCTCTATTTTATAAACCAGCACTGAAATTTTTCCGAGTTCAAGTTGAAATTTGAAAATTCGGTCCAGTACCTCACCATAGGATCTTACCAATCTTCTGAACATAAGGTTGTAAATAAGGAAGAATGCCGTATGAGCATTTTGCTGTTACCAAATTTTCCCCGACAAAATATTTATTTTTGGGAAAAGCTTAGCATATTCTTCTTTGAACATTTTAGATTAAATTGTAAAAAAAAGCTTGCAAAATCGAAGGAAAAAATATTCAGAATTTTCCCAGTAAATTCGTCTTTTACTCGAGGAAATATGGCAACGTCTGAAGACTCATACGGCGTTTTTCCTTAGCACGGCAGTATCCTAGAGTATGTATTTAAGTAGCAGTATTGCAGGATTTGCAACAGTATTTGCAGTATTGCCTCGTCTCTTTGACAAAACATGAATCAAATGTTCGCGGCATTTTTCCTAACCTTTCGTTCAAGTCTTTTACGATAGCAATCCGTACTTTTCCATGGAGGGAAACTCCCACCATTCCCGATTTGTTTCACATGCCTTTTTATCAATTTAACTTGTCTTTTCTTCCGTTGACAGTGTATTTAAGAACGCTCAGTCGTATCGAAAATCGATGTACTTCATCATGATACCGACCATCGTGATCTTCGTGGCCATAATCTGGGAGCAGGTGAAAAGAGGCCCTTACAATCTTTCACCTCTTCTCAATATCAACTGGAAAGCCCTCCTTTCTTTCGACGTGAGTATCTACTGTTGAATTATAAAGTGATCAATTGAAAAGAAGGGAAAAAAATATTGTTGCTTCCTCTCTATAACTTCGAAAAATCAACGCAATCGCCTCATACCTCCTTCAATATAGTAAGCCTGGTGTTGAAATTATAACTGAGCTTAATTATGACAAGTATAGAGGCTTTTATCTCTATCTTAACTTTACTCAGTTTATTACAGTGTCATCTTGTCACGTCCTAAAACAATCTGCCTTGCCGCTGTTCTCACTGCTGCAAGGGCATGACGTGATAAAAGCTAGAGCTCCTTCAATTTTTTGGATATGCAACACATACATCCGGAGAGCACGAATAGTTGTATTTTGCGTTTAGGCGCTATATACACGTCTGCGTGCGTCTGTTAGACGATGTATTGGCCATTTATAAAAACGTCTTGCTAGTATGTAGCTCTATCGATTTTCTCTTTTTTGGTCATCGTCATGATACCCTCTACTTTTTCAGGTATGGTATGCTGCTTTAATTCAATTTTTCTTCTCTACACACATTGGATTTGGAAACATCACAACAGGAGCTGGTGTTCTTTTTTCCAAAAGCAGTGCATTCTGGTAAGTTTTTCTTGGCTTTTCATCGTTGTTATCCAACCCTGAGTAAATTTATCTCCTTTTTAAAACTAATTTTTTTATGGTCAAATGTAATTTTTCTCAGAGGAAATACGTCGTAGGTTGAAAATAAGTAAGACTGACAATGGTACTTTAAGAGTTTAGAAACTTTTGGTCAAAGAGAGCCCATTGATTACTGATTAGAAAAAAAAATGATGTACAGTTTAAGTTGATAGTTCAGAAAAAATTAGAGCACCTATAAAAATTTTGTAAAAAGGGTCTAACTATGATTTTCAGTTTTTTTCGCTCGGTTTAGGGTTTTTTTTCCGCCAATACTCTAGAAGGATAGCAACCGTGGAAATCAGAGCCATTGTGAACTCAGTTTGTGCATTTAAGTGATTTCAGCGCAAAATTTGAGAAGTTTGCTAGCATTTGAACGTATTTCTGTCAAACGGAACTAAGCGCCAATTTGAGTTCCTTTTGAGGAATTTAGAATGCCGGATACCTAGCGCGTTCTGTCAAACGGAACGAAGCGCCATGGAAAAGCATTGCTAGTATAGGACAGAATGAGACCGACGCCTGGTTCCGCCGCCAATCCAAGCCCCCCTCTACCTTCTTCCCCCTATGGCGCTTAGTTCTATTTGATAAAAATACGTCCATTTAATTGTTCTTCAGGTAGCCCTCACATGGATTTTTGAGAAAATTTCAGAAACTTTGAAGTGTGAATTGTCAGCATGAGGTTTTCTGGTGGGGTTATGCTACTTTTCCCTCCAATCTCTTATTTTAAAACTGTATCATTTATTGTGCAATTGGGCTTTCTTTATATTTTTTAAGTACTTAAAATCCCTCATATTTGGATGACAATGATAAAACTTTTCTTATTGATTTGTTTACAGGACTGCTGTGTTTTACATTTTCATGAACCTTTTCGTGGGCCTCCTCTTCGTTTTCAATGTGTATTCATGGATCGAAAATTTAGAGACGGCTGGCTACATAATCCCAGAAAATATCAAAATTCCAGAGACATTTGTATTAACCATCATGTATGATTCAATTTCGAGAACGTACGACACCTTAACACAATTTTGGGCCACAATAGCTTTTCTCCTGATAGTTTTAGCTGGGTTTGCTAGTACGGTAAGTTGAAGTTTTCTCACTAAGGTACTTACTTACAAATATGTTGAAATTGTCTGCGTAAGTACTTGTTTTAACACTCGAAAAATAAAATTTAAAACCTGATCCTACCGTATACAATATTGTATGTTTACAATGTTACGTTGATTTACTCTCAAAGCAATTCTTACCGAAAATGTACATTTCTTTTACTTTGAAGTTCTGCAAAAAACCTGCAAAAATTGCAATTGAAAAGGTTTATGTTCCTCTAATTTACCATCGATATTTTGAGGATGAGAAATCTTCACAGTGAAATGAAACCCTTGCATTTTGCTTGATTAAAATGTATAGAATTCCTTAATTTTTAACTTGGAGGTTGCAATGTTTGCTATTCAGCATACCGCTCAGTAAATACACTTTACTATTCATAAGGTAAGTACCTAGATGCTACTTTGGAATTATCTTGACCAAAAATGCCGATCGAAAAATCAATTTAGGTGTTAATGAAGAACAAAAATCCCAAAATCTGAGGCTAAAGGTATTTCCTTGTTAAATTTTCAGGTATCGCTTGTTTTCACTGTGGTGACAGCTCTCTCTGTCGAAACAAAAAACAAGTGGAAGTGGTGGGTCATAACAAGTGGCGTCTGTTTACTCTCATTTTTTGCAAGTATTTTCTGTCTACTAAGGGTAAGTGCCATGTTCAGCATCTTCTTCTTAGTTCCTGTAATTCTATATGTTTATGTGATGCTAAAAAAGAAAACTTGATGCAAACAAAAATCTGCGATAGTAAAAAAATACTGATCTCAATTTGCAACATTGTAGTTTCCCTGTCGTATTTTATTTTTGAAAGGAAAACATAGTGCCCATTATTTCTTGAAAATGTACTAATTTTTTTTTATCTCATACAAAATATTCTGTAAAAATTTGACAAAAACGACAATTATTTTTTTTCCTTTTGTACTACTGAACAGCAATTGAGACTCAAATTAAAAGTTCAGACGAGCCAAAGATGTCGGCCATCGATCAAATACAGTTTAATTTTTTCCCCTCATGATCATGCCTCAGCTGGCGAAGTATTTACATTTCAATATGCAAGGGCATAGATTTGATGTCAAATAAATTTATTGCAAGTATTTAAATTAACTCTTGATGTCAGAATAGGATGCAGGAAGATTTTAACTCTGAACTCACTACTTTATACCTACTCCAAGACAGAGATCATATTGATGCTTTCAGGTTCCGAATGGGTCCTTTTGACCAATCAATAACTTTTTTCTGTTTAAATTAAGTTGAGTCAAGAGTCACTCAGTTTTCACCCCTCGATAAAAATTTTATTCTGACTGATTCTGGTCACTAATGAAGAATCTCTGTTGCAGGAAAATCTGAAAATAGTTCACATTCTTGATGCATACGTTATTGGAAGGATAGTAGTGTTGTCAACAATTCTTGAGTTAGTTGGTTTCATCTACATTTACGGACTGGAGCCTCTGTCGAATGATTTTGAGTTTGTGCTTGGATATAGGCTCTGCTTCTTATGGAAAATATTTTGGTTTATAGCACCAATATTTTTGACGGTAAGTTGAATTATACCTTGCTTTCTTCAAACCTCGATTTACTCTCTATTTACTCGATTTACTTTTTACTCTCTAAACTCAGCTTGTAGCCAAAAGAGAAAAACTTTGCTATCTCATCATGTACTTAATCAAAAGCCCAAAGTACCCTAAATGTTAAACTAAACAAGAACTAAGACAGTTTTAAGTTCAAAGCACAATTACAGCTGTTTAAAAATTGTTTTTCTCCTCTTTGAAGGCTCTAAAGTTTTGAATCTTGGTGCAAATTTATTCCTGCTTCTTGCGTTAGAATGAGATGAATTGCTAGTATCCTATATTATAGATTACAAGAGAGACCCAATAAAAACGCATGCCTGAAAAAGTTGCCTTCTTTCGAATAGGTTCTCTTTCTAGCGGGTTGATTATTGAAATTGATAGACAAAGAAGACATAGGGAATATGGGGCAATCCTATTGGTTGAAATTGGTGGTTCCTGTAGACTAAGGGAGAAAATGATGGACTAATTATAAGGCCTCTTGGGGGTTGCCGTTAGTTTGTCTATTACTTACCTCCTTTGTCCATAGCAACCACCCACTTCCACCATCAAAATCGCTGTGTTTTCAGTTTGTCTTCTTTTTCTACCGGTTTGTTGATCAATTTCAATAATCAGCCTCCAGAGCATGGTAACACATGTTAGAGAAACATTGCAAATCTGCTGGTAGGTATGGTTATCCAGAGTGTACTTTTTTCTCTAACTCCGCCATGTAGGTAAAAAATTTCTCTTTCTATTTAAGTTTATGAAAGAATTCTGCACAGATGATAATTTTGTCATTTATGTAACTTTCCTTCATAATTTACAGATTGTTGAGGGTTGGTCTCTTGTCACCACTCTTCTGAATCTAAATCAAGATGGAGCTGAAAGCTGGATGCAACATATTGGATGGGGTTTCTACGTTTTAGCATGGCTGGTCATCATCATAACAGCTTTGTGGCAGATTTGTAATCAAGTTGATTACAATTTGTCGCAGGTGAGGATCTTTAATTCTGATTTGTAACCAGTGAAAGAAAGCAGGCGTTTATGTGCAAAACTTGTAGTAGAGTTAGCAGTTTGACTCTATTTTAAAAAGTTGAACTACTATATCTACCTGCCCCTAGGCAGGTGTGTTTAGGCCTGTGTGTTTAGAAACAACATTAGTGCCACTAGTTTTCTGATGCAGATAGGTGCTTTTCTAGATGAGCTAGAAATAAAATTCTCTGATGTAAAATGAGGTGCAATTGGACCGCGTTAAACAGAAAGGAACCCAGCCACATCAGCCATCGCCAAATTTAATTGAGCAATTTAATTTTTTACATGAAAACAGCTGTGCGGATTTTTGTGCAAATTTCAGTGAAAATTCTCCATAGTTTGAAGCAAATTTCCTAAAAATTTTAAAGAAATCCGCACAAATGTTCTCTCGTAGAAAATTTAATTGCCCAGTTAAATTTGACAATAGCTGATGTGGCTTGGTTCCTTTCTGTTGAACTCGGTCCAATTAGGAGTCGGAGCCAAAGTCGAGAGTTTCATTTTTCAATGGAAAATGCAAACTAAGGTACAAGAGCATAAAAAATAAAGTACAAAGTAAATATATAAGTTATGCTCATAGTGTATCTACTCCACAAGTGGCTTAATAAATCTAAAATTGAGACTTGTCAAAACTTAATTAAATCAGTTTTTTTCAAAATTACTTGCTTTCATTCCAGTACCTCAGTATGTGCTATAAGAGTCAATTTTTTAGGTAATGCTCTTTAGAGCTGGTACATTTGTGTAGTAGCAGATAGATTGATAAGGCCATCAAAAATATCAAGAGTCTCTGCCTCGAAAAATACCGATACCTACCGATCCATCAAGTCACTAGGCACACTGACATAATATCAGATTAAAGGAATTTTCAGCACCAAAATAATTCAGGAAAATTCAAGGATATTGAAGAGCTTGAATATTCGAGAAAAAATGCATCAATTTCAAAGACTTTTCAAGGTATCAATAATTATGCAAAAACCCTAAAGCAGGGAAAAAATCATTTACAACATGAACAACAACTGATGAGAAAATTTTTAAAGAGAGTGCAAAAAAACTCTCAAAAGATTGACCATAATCTTCTAATCTGTCTTTTAAATTTCCCAACACTGAAAATATTGGGTAATTTACACTTAAACATTTTTCAACAAAGAGATGATTCCACTATCCATTTTCTTTTCAGAAATCAAGGAGTGCCTTGAAACCAAGTCGAAATTGGGGTCCGGTCGATCCAATCTACCGTCACTGCTGGGTCCAATGGAAAAAGCAGTATCAAATTACCGGTGAACGGGACTTCACATTAAAACGGCGAGGAACGAGAGATTACACGCACTCTGTGAAGCGATCTCATTCACGCCCGGGCAACGGAGCTTATGGCACAAACACCAGCTCACTGAAAGGAACGCACAGCGGCCGCGTCAACAGTGCGTACAGTGTTGAGCCTGTTTCCATCCGACGAAACCACGGAAAGAAAATCAACAGTGCTTATAGCATTGATCCAGCAACAGCAACGCTGAGAAGTAGTCGCAGTCGATCATTTCACTACAACGGAGACTTGGAGTCGTATGAGCAGACCATCAAATCAAATAATCATCGCTACACGCTGGACAGTTATTTCCCGAATGATACAATCAATATTCATGATTACGTCAAAGCTGAGTTGAAAGCAGAGAAAGAACCGGAGTTTACTACAACTTATGTCTATACTCCAACACAAAACCTTTCAGCGAAATACACCCCTCCGGATAATAATGACCACACCCAAAAAAGAATTAAAACAAAACACAGCTTCCATGAGGCTGATATAGACAATACGACGTATGGTAGGATAAAAATTAAGCAACACCCTCACAGTCAACCACCCGATGTTAGGAAGGACCCTCCTCGGCACGCTGATGAAGTGCCTTACCCAAATGTGAAACACACGAGGCCTAGAGAAACATCGCCGGGTATGTCTCACTATAGCGTGCAGCCAAAGCCTAGTTTTAGGTACGATCCAAATGATGATGCTCAATTATATTATGTTAGGCAAAATTATCGCGGTGAGGTGCCAAGTAATGTGAAACCAAAATCACACTCACGACACAGTCACACGCAACAACCTTGCATTTTTCAGGAAGGTGACGATGTCGACCATGTGTTTTGGAGGAAAGAAATTAGTCCGTATACGCATTACATGTAAGAATGTTATGAGCAAATGTTGAGAGAGATTTAAGGTGCTACTCTCCCTTCATTTAACCTACTCTGATTTGAGCGACCTCATGAAAATCAGAATCGCTTTCAACTTTTAACCACTACCTGGAACATTAATATAATGAACCAAATGGGCTAGTCATAAATAGTTTTATCAGGTCAAGATACAACCTTAATATCTTACAGCTCAGATAGAGGTAATCTGCTACTGTAAACCTCTCAAATTTTTCAGGAGAATTACTGTGTAATCAAAAATGTTTGAACCTAATTCATGATAAATTATCAAACGAAGTGCCTTCTGTTACTCTCCTTTTTCTTCAACAGTCAGAAAAAGAGTATTGCTTTTTCCAAGGAAGCCTGGAAAATTTTCAAACAAAGATCTCGCTTTATTTTAATTGACTTTCAGAGAATATTACATTAGTACAGTTACCATCGCAAGAGGAAAGGGCACAATAAGACATTATTGTTGACTCCTTTTTTCACTTCTGAAAATTTGATGGAAAAAAAGAATGGAAGATTAAATTATAAATCCCTTTAGACCCTTAAAGTATTCTTTTTATCCTTGAGGCTTGGGCGTAAGATTTTTTCTGATCAACATATTTTTTCTCTTTATTCCTTAAACTTGTTTTAGAAGATTCTAAAATCTACGATTGAGTCATCAAACGGCCCTCTCTTTCAACACTCTGCCAATATTCTGGATTACTAGAATTCACGGGGTCAAAACTATGGGAAAAGAAAGCGGTGCTATTAAACATACTAAATTGTAGACAAAATTTAGGCCATAGTAAACGGAATATCCAAATGCAATGAAACTGATGTTGTTCTCTAGGGCCCAAGTGCTAAAATCGACGTTTTGAGAAAAACTGTGTCATTTAATGGGCATTCAATATTTTAAGCCCTAAAAATGTATGTGTCTGAAGAATATCTTCTAAAACTGGGGAACGCATTATGAATGGCACACTTTTTCCTGTTTTTCGACTCTTAGGCCCTTAAGAAAAATATCAGTTCAATACTAAAATAATAAAAACTTTCACTAGACTGTACTTCTAGGAAATACTCTGGATTTCAGTAACTGCTCTGTAACCTCTGCCAATCCTACTGTAAGTATTTTCCAATGGATGCCATTTTAAGTAATTCTGACTAGAATATCTATGGAAGAGGAGATGATTAAATTGTTCCATTGCATATCCGTCAATGGTGAAGTCTGCTTTATCCAAGAAGTCTCTGATCTTATTTAATCAGTGTCTGCTTTGCTTTCGGCGGAACTTCAATTCCAATGCATTTTTAAATCCTGTTTACTTGTTGCGCCCCAGACAAAGGAACATGACTACATTTCAACTTTGCCAAATTTCTTTTCATAATATGTATTTTTACCCGGAAACTATTCAACATTTTAAATTGAGAATTTCACCAATTTTTCTACAGGTTATCGTCACAAATCAGCAAGATTTTGGACAGAAATTGCGTTTATCATTTTTGTGGAGGAAAAAAAAATTATTTTGTGCAAGTAGATTTTACAGCCTTGGAATGGAGGTATGTTCCTTCATCCGGGAAATGACAAATTATAATTATTCATATTAATGACGGAACTACCAAACCATGTGGCTGGGAAAATCCAATTTTTCAGGAGAGAAAAAAATTGTCTACGTTCCTCAGAGAGGTGAAATTATTCTAGATAGTGACCATAAGATGTTCTTTCGCTCTCTGCACGTTTTTTTGGAAATATTTTTAATTGTTGGGAAATAAGAAGGAAGAACCAAGAAATGCGTTTTGCTTATTAGGGGCCAATACTGTATCTCAAAATAAGGTCAGAATTTAGTTTCTGGATTAATTTTTTGCAAACTTTGATTAAAATAAGGCCCAATGAAGAGTTAAGAGTCGTAGAGGACAGTGTGCCAAAATATATTTAGTAGAGGGCTCTAATGATTTCACACAATTTCTCATTGTTACTTTTGCCTCTCTTCCAATGGTACAGTTTACTGAGTTTAAAGATTTCCTTGAGTATCAGCGTAAGTACATGAAAAAAGTACTCTTTTGGATTGACTGATGTATTTTTATGGCAAATGAAATACATCACTCACACCTCATTAATCCGGTTAGTGTGAACTGATGATAATCAAGATACTTGTATGTGGTTTGGTGGTTTCACCGTTGATTTGGAATTTTTTGTGCAGATATAACCTTGACTTGTATTAGAAAATTTCTTCCAATTTTACGAGTAAATAATTTTTTATTATTATTGTTACAGAAAATGATTGTGTGTATAGTTTAATTGTTAAATTATACCTACCTAATGCGTAGAAATCTAGGTAAACTCTGACTTATGTCATGTGTATTATATCAAAGTCTGAAACAGTGAGAGAATGTATATTTTGTATGTAGGTATGTAATTTTTTTATTTTTTATGTTTTCTCTCTCTTTACAGTTTTTATATTAAAAAAAAATAGAAAAAATAAATGATAATTTTGATGTTTCATGAAGAGTTTTGTTGGGATATGGTTAGTGTAAAAGCTTTCATCGGACAGAATCTTTCATGGGATCAGGCGTGTCAATTTTCCAACACTTTCATGTTTATGATTATATTGTAAGTTTTAAGTAGCTCAGAAAATATAAGGCATGGATTTGGCAACATACATTGGAAATTTCCAAAAAAAAAAAATTCAAATCTAATGTCAGACCAAAAAAAACTTCCCAAGGTTTGATGTTACCTTCTTTATTGAATCAAACCTTGTACATATGTAGAGAAACTCTTGAGATTAAAAGAAAATAAAATGAAAGTTTTTCTCGTAAATAAAAGGAACTAAAAAGATGCTACACGTAGGCTGATATTCACAATGAGATTATGAAGAATTTTAGGTTGAAATTTTCACTTTCATTTATTTCTTTGGCTCTTAGTTTGTTATCTCAGTTCTTGTATGTTGTTTGCCAACTAGTGGACTCTTACTAAAACCAAGTACAGCAAAAATTATTTTCTCCCATTAACTTCTCAAAAATATTCTATAAACTTCTTGTAATCTTTGATTCGGTCCAGTTGGAGTCAAACAGCAAAACATAATTTTCACTTGCGAAGAGAGCAACCGCCAGAAAGGCAAATAATCCAGAAATTAAATTGGGTGTGTTAAAACTTGACTGAACTTACATGTTCAAATGTGAAAGATTCTTTCCAGCATTAACGATAAGTTACCAACAGTTTTGAATCATACAGCCAGTTTTCACATCGATCTACTAATAATTAGCAATACATGATTCACTGAGTAAATTGCTGGCTACCTCATGCCTGAGATATTGCATTGCTCTTGTGAAATATTATAAAATTCGAATGAGAATGAATGTGTAGTATATGAGTTAGATTAATTCTGTAAATATACGATAGAAATTTGTAATTTTGTTTTTATTTTTTTATTACTTGCAGTGAATTTTCACTCTCTGTAAAAAATGAATAAATCGTTAAAGAGTCTGTGTGAAAATTCTTTATTTTACCCAGCCTTAATGAGTTATCAATCCCAGCACGAAAAGTACGCACTTGCATGAGGCGCAAAAATGTCTTGCAGTTTTGTTTATTCATGTAAAATTTGAGAGATTCCCAGGTTTTTTGTATTGCTTTACCACAATAAGTCTTCATCCTAAACCACATTAAGTTTTTTTCAAACTTCAACTATTCCAGCACTAAATTCTCAAACAAAACTGAAATTTTACTCATTGGTCTTTGTTGACCAATCACACAATTCAAGGTATTCTTCTTGTTTTCTGAGGACATTTTGGCGAATTAGCAGTACAATATTGAAAGAGAAAAACTTCACAGTTATATTCAGGGCATGGATTATGCTAATTTATTGATAAAAGAAAATAAAAAATTTAAAACGTAGCCCGAATACTGCACCAGGATGATAGAATAGTATTAGGTTCGTACTAAATTCAGGAAAAATTAAAGCTAGAAATACCAAAAATTATAATTACAGTAACATGAAATCTAATAAATTTCAGTGCAAGACTGAGAGGGGGAGAGTACTCAGCGGAGGCAGGTGCGAAGGAGGCGATTCCTGCAAGTTGGCAATACTGTTTTTTCTCCATTTATATCCATTGAATACGTCGGTTCTAGGTGAGACAGGCTGCCGCACCTAGATTTAATTCTTTAACATACATTTAAAAAGAGAAAAAACAGTTTTCTCAACTTAAAAGAATCACCACTCAGTAACTGGTCATACCCAGTCAGAGCCCAACTTAACAAACAACATTAAAAAGCTGTCGTGGGTACAATGCGAGGCATGGCGCTGAAGCACAAGTCTCGTGCCAGCTGCCTTTACTGTCGGACAACAATCGGGGAGAAAAATTAAACACCGCCGAAAAAATGGGTGGTTGGGCAGTTGGATGTTTATTGATAACTAAACTGAGTCCTTCTCATTTAAATAAAAGGAGTTTTAATTCAGTCAATATTGAGGGAAAATACATATTATGCAAGAGTGCCTTATAACTTTCAGTCAACTCCAGAGGACACATTTTAAAAAAGTTACTATTCGGTGATAAACGTAGATACCTAATACTCAAGAGCTGCAGGGGTGTAGAAACTTCCCGATCAAACGATTATGATCAGATGGCTGTTCTCATAAAAAAATGGGAGGGCTGCAAAAATTGGAAAAGCCAGCTTGCAGTAGCATCAAAGTCATGGTATTTACGTGTTTTTCAAACAATTTCAAAGAAATTTCCATGTTTACATAGAATTATGAAAAATGTTTTTTGTAAAATCATGAAGAGATTTGCGCCTTTTTCATAATATCATACCAATTTGTGAAAACAGGATAATAAAAGGTCATAGCTATGAAACATCTTGGGAATATGGAGAAGCCAGTTTGGAAAATGGGAAGGCTAAGAACTTTCGGCACCCTTGAAGAACTCTTAACAGGAATATCAGGTCTATAGGATTTTGATAAAATTAGTCCGTGATTTCTAGCTCAGAAAAAAGAACAACCATACAGCAGAGATGCGAGATTAAAATTAACTCAAGCTGATTTTGTACTGATCTATATTTAGGCACTTAGAAATCTCTCTAATTGCTTTATAAAAAATAGATTAATGGACAAATAAATGCAATGTGGAGGGAGGAATAATCCAAGATCTAAAATAAAAACTGCTGAAAGTTAATGCCTAGAAATGCAAGTTACGATCGAGATTTTAGTTGCTTCACTGCTGTTCACACAGAATCTTCCACAGAAATCATAGAATCTTTATGATTTTGACAAACTTAAAAATACGAGATCATGCGTTTGGATAACAATTCGTCTACAAACATAACCAAACATAAAATCTGGCAAAATTATTTTTTATTTTTCACGGTGAGAAAACAGAACATTGAGTACCTAGCAATAGACAAATTCATTAAAGCTAAAAAAAAAAAAATGTACAGGTGTCAATCATTTAAAGTTCTCTTATTAAAAACTTGAATTGTTACACAAAATTGTTTGGTTGCATTATAAATAAATTTTAATATTCCTATCTTGATCTCTGTCAAGATACATATGTTATTTTAGCCATTCAAAATAATCTGATAGACAAGTGAAAGTAATCTGATTCTTTTGCATGAGCCATCAGAGATAGGGGCTCCCCAAAATAGTGAAGGCAACAATTGAGCATGGCTCTGCTAAACTTTGATGAAATATTGCATGTGTGGTATTCTTGAAGTCAGAGAATTTTTCAGGTTCTTTGATTAAATTTCAAGGATACCCCGATATTAACAAGCATTTCAGCTGCCTTTGATGTAAACTTACACTCCTATATTTTCGAAATTCCTGCAAGCTAGTAAATTGACTTTCTGTAAAATACTCTTCAAAGTTTCACCGGGGCCACACTCAAAAGTTCTTGGGAAGTATGAGCCCTGAGGCCGTTCATAGAGAACATGTAGTGTTTGTTCCCATTTGATTGGTTTGTAGAGAAGTTTTGGTAATTGCATATAAACCTGTTTGGCATCGTTGTATCGCTTTCCGTCGAGATTTGAATGGACTGATACAAATGGATCACTGGTACCAGCGGACCTCAAGGCTTCAACAAAAGGTCCGATTGCAGGTTTCATCAGATCCGTGTGAAACGCTCCACTGACTCGCAGCCTTTGCACTCGTTTAATTCGGTACAGGGCTTTGTTCTCTTCAATGTATCTTAAAGCCTGAAAAAGGAAATGTATACATTTTCATTGAGATAAATTATGATATCCATATAATCATGATGGACCACAAGACAAGGTACAAAGCTAAGCATTCTGATACATGTTTCATAACCAAAATTTCACGTAGAGCACCAATGACGAAAATTACCAAAATCAACTCCTTACCAAGATATTTAATTTTAATTGACACATGAATACAAACATCCTGCTCATGAAGGCTCAATGGTCTACATGAGTCGAATCGCACACTAAACATTACAGTGGCAGTCTCCACGGTGTCAAAATATGGCAACCTAGATCTTGACGAACTGGCTTTGCTAAAGCAAATTGTTTACCTTTTAAACAATGAAGGGTGGGAAAGGAACAATGTTTGATTGAAAAAGCCTGCCGAAACCGTTGTAAAGCGCAATTTGACTAATGTAGAGTATGGCGTTTCTTACGACCGGGCAACTGAAATTTCCCGAACTGAAATTCAACTGAAAATAAAAATCTTAGTTTGGAGTTACTTTATGTCAGTAATTTTAGAAGTTAGAACTGTGTCCTACATGAAATTCTGGTTGAGAAACATGTATCGGAATGCTTAAATACATACCTTGTCTGGTGGTCCATTGTTAAGATCTCACTTGGGTGCTGCTTTTTGATTTGTTAAAATCGTGCTATGATTAGAATTAGAACGTTAGGGAAAGTCATCAAAGAGGATCAATTAAGGGGCTTGGAAGACAAGGCACACAAGTGCAGTTTTTGGACAAATTGCGATATTAATGATTTCAAGTAAAAATAGTCTTAATGGATATTCTGTGAAAAATTCGTTCCCTAACTCCAACTTTTAGGCATCAAAAAAAAGTATGAATTTCCTTTACGCCACAAAGATCCATGTAATTTCGAAATTTCAAACACCTACTTGTTGAAATAGAAAAACTGCACTGATCAACGGTGTAGGTCGGCAATCACATAACTCGGTTTGTGACGTCGTAGACTTCCTGTCATACTTTTTTTGAAATGGAAAACTACTCAATGGCAATTCTTTGAAAATGCCGTGGTTTTTCTTCTCAAATTGTTCTCCTTAAAAAAATAACATAGTGGCGGAGATTTTCAGTCACCGCAAAGGAGATATGTGATCGCGGACTTACGCCATCGCTATACGCCTTGTCCTGAAAGCCTCTCAATTCAGATAGGAAAAATATTGTTCAAGCAAGCTGGAGAAATAAAAACTAATTATTAGGAATTTTCTAGCAAGAGCTACTTTTGAAAATTCAGAGCTTAATTGCAGGCACAGTGAGATTCATTCATTTCCTTTTATTTCTGTTTGTTTTGTAATATTCACTTACTAATGGGTCTACATGACTCTTCGATACTGTAAATAAGTAAATAAATTAATTAAAAGTAGATACATTAGGTACTTTTACAAAAAACTACACATCTCTATCATTTTGTTGAGCAATTTTGATTGCAGTCAAATTTCATTCTAGCATCTCTCAAAATAACGTTTTTCCTGAAACAATGGTCATTTTTTCAAGTCTCAGCGAACTTTCATCTTTTCTTTTCAGCAGGTCACAAGTATCTTACACTCCCCTTCCACAGAATTAAAAAAAACCGACCCCTACTATATTTCATGACTGCCTTTCTCTGAAGTCTCGATCCATTTATTGTTTGGATCAATCATGATATCGAAGAAAAGTGTGACGAACAAGTTAACAGAGAGAATATCACTGAGACGTTCTGGTAGGTACTCAGAACAGTGTTACCTCTTCATGACCAGCAATGACTTTGCAGTCTGGATACAGATAGCTTGCAACCGAGCACACCGGACCTTCAATTCCTCTTTCAGCGCACCAATCCCGAGCTTTAGATAGAGCAAGGCCAAGTTTATGGTCTGGTCCGTAAAAAATAGTTGCCATGCCTCCTGGAGCCATTTCAGATGCCAGCTGCATTGCCTCTGCCCGAACTTTTACAAGCATCAAAGCTGCAAAATAAAGAATTTGTTATAGTAAGTGGCACGAAATATATCTGAAAAGCTACGACTAGATCCAATTAGGGTAAAATTGGATTGCATTTAGCAAAAAGGAACCAGCCCGATTGCAGTGTTTTCAAAATTGTGCAACTTCTCTTTCTCTTTTCAAAATATTAATATACTCATGTACAGTTTTAAAATGTACAAAATTTTATTTTATAGTGGATTGGCAAGTTAAGCAAAAACTATTTGAACTATTTGCTATTCTGGGACATTTTTTGAAAAAAGATGGAGAAGCAACAGTTTTACAACACTGTAATCCTGCTGGTTCCTTTCTGCTAAGCGGGATCCAATTGAGAGGATAAAAAATTATCTGAATGAAATAATTTTCTTTACTTTCTTACATTTAAGTAAAATTAGATACATGGTAACTTTAAATAAACCCTAAAATCACTACTTCGGTTTAGGACTTCCACGAATTGAGGAGGTAGGAGTAATCTTCTCATAAATCTGAGAAAAACAAGTTTACAGTTTAAAACTTGCATTAAACCTATGGAGTTATAGAAAGTTTGAACACACATGGATTTAAAAACTGATCATTGATTTTTTTTTTTACAAATTTTACCACGACCCAAGTTTTTATCAAAATCACTGATACAGAATTATTTCCAAGAAAAAATAGCAGAGATTGAAAAATGTTAGATACCCCTTACCTCTTTCGAACGTCAATGCCCCTGCAAAAGTGAGGGCTGAAATTTCACCCAAACTGTAGCCTGCAGCTGCCATACAATTTTCTATAGCAGTAGGTTGTTCTTCTTTGAGTCTTTCTACAGCTGCCAGCGAGCAAACAAAGATTGCCGGTTGACTGTGCACTGTTTTTGATAGTTCTTCGATTGGTCCTTCTAAACATAATTTCTTCAAATCATACTGCAGAATTTCATTGGCATAATCAAACAGATCTCTAGCTACTGGAAAATTCATCAGTTTTTTACCCATACCCACAAATTGGGTTCCCTGACCAGGAAACAGAAGAATAGACGTTTGACGAGGATCCATGTTCGGACGCAGCGAATAGGATGCCTGAGATCGGCGTTTGATGCGCTCTGAACCTTTAGGGTAAGGACTGGTGGTCCAATTTTGATCATCTCCGATGGTATCAATATTTTCAAATGTTGCTGCATTATCTAGCATTTCTTTTGAGTCCAGCCTTTTCTTCTTGGGAGTTTTACCCTCATCTTTGGAATTGTTCCTAACTCTTGATTCTGAAGAGGTGGTGAATCGATTCAAGCACAAAAAACTTCTAGAGTTCCTAGATTGAATGGATTGACAAATATTTACGCATAAGTCCGGTAAACTCTGAGGTAAGCCAAGGCCAGATGGAATGGTACCTCGTAAAAGAGGCTGCAATGTTCCACTGTACTTTATCATAGCTCTTTCGAACAAGGTAGAAAATAGCAAGGACCTTATCCTGGAGCACTTGTGAAGACAAAATGTTGGAGCAACTTAGATAGAAATACTAAAAGACTGCTGTAGCTTTGGAGATGTGCTGAAACGGCAAAGTTACACTAAGAATCGCTTACTGCCTGCATTTATAACATTGGAAGTTCATGTATTATGGATTATTTCATTGCAAGTTAATCGAACAGTAGATCAGGCATATGAGTCCACTATTAAACAATCTTAAAGCTGATCTTCGGAATTAATCTTATCACTGTACATTCGGCTTATCCGGCATATCAAAATCACATCACATTGCACATTCACATGCTCATTTTATAACCTCAAATAAACAACATAACCTCAGAGATTGAGCAATGATGTAAACAAACACATCTGTGGTATGACATGACGGATTTGGTCAAATTTTTAGTTATTTCTCAAAGATACAAATTGAAAGAAATTTTTTCAAGTATATTCGTGTTTACTTAGACGAGTAAATACATCGATCATCTTATTTTATGGGACTTTTATTCAACTTCACGGTCACATTTGGTGGTTCTCCAGTTTCAACCCTCTGCTCTTCCTCAAGATTTTCAGTCGCCTTACATCCACGATGGACCAAAAGTCGTTTTCAGACTGGGTGAAGAAACAGCTGTCAACGCTGTTAGGATTTCAAGTTCCTGATGAAATGATTCAGTAAGTTGTGGGAAGTTATTTTGCCTTTTATACAACTATTCGTACCACGCTCATTCAGAAGAGACAAGAGCACATATTCAGATGTCATGCCTGGAGACTTGGAGGGAAAATACTCCCGGAAATGCGTAATGCCCCTCATAGGCACAGCTAATTATAGAAATTATGAGGTGCAATCCAAAAAGTTTTTAATTTTTCAGTCAAGTATAACGTTCTGCTTTCCCCAGGTGCCCTGCGCTTGAAAATTGGGCGCATCATGGTGCTGAGAAAAATTGACTCATTCCATCAGTTTTCCGTAACTTGCAGTTGCAAAGCAACAGCTATATTCTTAATGCACTGTTTGTGGCATGGCGGTGCAGCTTGAGTATGAGAAGACTTTATAACGGGACAGGTGTAGCTTGAAATACTCAAATCTGTTTTAATTTGAATGCTCCTCTTTAATTTTTTAGAATGATACTGAATCATCAAAAGAAAGAAGAATTAGAAAAGGATTTGTGCTCTCTCTTGGATGTTGGGAATGAAGCTCATTTTAAGTTCATGAGAGAACTCATATCAAAAAAAGAGAAACGTAAGTACATACTTTTATAATTCAAGCTCAGCCATGCTATTTTGTAAATCTCACAATTCGACAGTGTACCTAAGTCGGCAATTTCATAACTCGGTTTGCAACGTCGCAGACTTCCTGACATACTTTATTTTTTAACGGAGAACTACTCAACGGCAATTTTTTAATACTGCCGTGGTTTTTTTTCTCTGTGTGAAGAAAATTTTGCAAAAACTTCCAAGAATGATGTCAATTCGTTCTCCTTTAAAAAAATAGCATAGTGGCGGAGACTTTCAGACATCGCAAACGAGATATTTGATTGCAGACTTATGCTGTTGAATTGTTTTATACACCATATACAAGGCGGATAAAGAAAGGGGGTCGCATTTCGAGTTGAGCCATCATTTTAAAGGCTGTGACGCGCAGAGGGTACATGCTTTGCCATGCAATCAGGATATACCCAAAACGTACCTGATATCGTGTGACGTCAAGAGGGTAAGAAATAGGTCCACCATTCTTTATCCGCCTTGCAACATATATATAGGTCCCTGCGTCTTTTTCGAAATTTTCTCAACCATTGTAAGTGAAATATCAATATTTTGGTTGTGAATTGATTTCTGTAATGTTTTTTGCGCAAATTGTGTTCTACATGAAATTTTGAAACGAAAACATGTACTTATGAGAATACTTCATTTCGTACTCTGGCTGGTCCATTTTATTTATGTTTCTTTTCTCTGTTAAAAAACTGGTTCAGAGTTTTGCGTAAAAAGTTTTAGATGCCTCTAATTTCTCCTCAAATTGCACAGTTCTGTTTTCTTAGAATCTAACTCTTGATAATTTGAAAAATATGTGTCACTGATAGGGGAAAAATGCAGCATGGAATAGTTATCCTGGAATAGTTATCCTACAAGTAAAAAACTCGCACCATTTCATAGGAATGTTAATCTCACACTAATGTCATTTTTTCATTTATTAGTGCTCAAAAATTCCAAAACATCAAAGGAACCAAGTAACATTCATCCGAAACAATCAGCAAACCAGTCTAAACAGCAGCATTCTCAGAAAAGTAATTCAAAACAACAACCATCAAAAAACACGGCTCAGTCAACACCATCAAACCAACAGCAATCAAATAAAAATAAGAAAGCATCGCAGAAAAATGAATCAGAAAAAGCACCTCCAAACAACACAAAACCTCCCAAGGTACGCCTAATGGTTTATCTTACATGAAAATTTCTATTGATTATGTAGAGGACTACAAGGTATTAACTCCATGCATGAAAATTACTTCTGAACTCATATCATCTTTGCTGAGCGATTCATGTATACACTTTGTTCAAATAAGTCCTCAATCATTCAACATTCCTCTGTCGGAGGAAATTGGAGTTTTCAATTAAAATTTTTCCTTGAGCAGTTGTTTTTGTAGCTTACTGTTCCTTTTTCTTTTTCCTAAAAATTATCTTTAGCCGGAACTGAAACTTGCACCATTAGAATCTGAATCTACCCATCCAAGAAGTGCAACACTTGGAAATTAAACATTATTTGAAGAAAAGAAAATACAGAATTAAAACTTAAACTTAATTGCTGCTTTAGAGTCATTAAATAACTATATGTGAGCGATAATATTTATAAATTATTAAATTATAAACTTTTATCAGTAAAAATATTTTTAATTCAATATTAATCATTAACCTTTAATTTTTATAATCTATACCAGTAAATTTTTGTAAAATTAAAAATTTTGATTTTTTTTCCATCGTAGGATTCAGGAGACTCATCCGGAAAGAAGAAGAAAAAATTCACCACTGTGTATGATGGTAGTACTGAAGGTTCATGTTTGCTTGAAGGTATATTCCCCTTTATCTATGTTAGATTTTTCCAAGTCTTTTCGCAACTTTCCACAGAGTAAGGAATCTCAATCTTCGAAAACTAAATATGTATCAATAATCAAGCGAATAGAAAGAAGGGCCATTGTATAGTAGAGTGTCACAAATCTTCATTCCTCTAACGCAAGGGCGTATTTCTGTGAGCTCTGTTGCCCACAGAACTTCTTGCTCTCCGGAGCTGATACGAAAATGGATAAGACTAAAAGACTCGCGAAACATTTTGCTCAAACCATAAGTAGAGAGACGGTCATTTTGTCCTGGGTCCACACTACTTTGCAAGGAAAGCAAGTCCAAAAAATTCCAAGAATATTTAATCAGACTCAAAAACTTGAGCTGTATTGAGTTTTTAATCTCTAATTGAAAATGTTGAGAAATTTCTCTGAAAATTTTTAGAATTTGTTGGTCTTGCTTTCCCTGCGAAATAGTGTGAACCCAGCACCATTTTACCACCTTGTTACTTGGAAATGAAGGTATGGCTTTACGTCAGAGAAAGGACGAAACATTTTGGCACTCAAGAAAACACTTAAAAATCTTAAGCCAAAGTTAAGCCAAATACTGTGTTCTTCAGAAAAGGGAATCTAACTTCTTATCTGTCATGGCTATGGCTCAAAATTATTCTATAAAAATGTAATTTCTGTCCTTCATTGGGAAAAAAATGAAATCAATCCCTCGTAACTTTTTTTGGATAGTTCGGAAGCATTTTCTGTTGAAAATTCAAATCCAAATTTTTACCCTACTTAGAAAAACATGATCTCTCAAATAATTTGCCTCTGGAAACTAAAGTTCCTCCTCTTTGGGACTCTTGTTTCCCGTGAATATTTCAAAAGTTTTTAACATCTTAGCAATATTTGTAATAATTTATTATCTGCTTAAGCACCAATCATTGATACAAATTCCTTATACATAGGTGGGGAAGGTTTAAAATCTGTGATTATTTTCGATCATCGGTGAAATTTCAAGAAGAAAACTCCGTACTAAGTTCGTACCCCTTTCTTAGGGGCTCGAAAAAAGACATGTTTATTTTTTGCAACGAAAGTTGTTCATTATTTTGTCTTTCATTGAATGTGTCTGTTATATTTGATCTCAGGGAGGCGAAAATGCGACTGCCAGGCTTCAAAACACAAGCTAATCAACAACTGTTTACATTGTGGCCGCATAGTATGTGAGCAAGAAGGCTCTGGTCCTTGTCTTTTCTGCTCCAATTTGGTAAGTTTAGTCCTAAAAATTGTACCATTTTATACTACTATATCTACTAAAATTTTCCATGCTTCCTAAATTTCTTGTGAATTGAGTCACTCTATTCTACTAGTTGAAGGATAGTTGAAATTCATATATTTCTGTGGAAAGAAACTATTGATGCGGAACTATTGCTTCACTTGCCGAGCTTCACCTTTTTGAAGCTTCAATTGCCGCCTGGGCCCTAAGAAACTTATCTAGAATCTCTACGCCTCAATGTTGCCTACTTTTCTATCATGCTAACGTTGTCTCGCATATCAGATATGGTCTGATTCTGTGGGGTCGTAGCGTCGATGCTCCTGATGTCTTTATTCAACAAAAAAAATTATTAAGGATAATGTTTAATAGACCTTTAAATTTCCCCTGCCGCCAGCTATTCATCCAGAAGGAGCTCCTTACCCTTCCCTCTATCTATATTTTTGAAAGTATTAAATTCTCCATCTTTTCTAAATTAATTACTCCTGTAGATCTCTGTCCTTCCCACTCTTATAATAGCAGATTTAAAAGCATAAAAAATTCAAAGATCAGGCTGACTTCAACAATGCGAAGCGTAAAGTATTCTTTTATCCAATTATATAATGCCTTGCCTTGGGAACTAAAATCTCTTTTTCGTGAAGGCCGTGTTCAATATTTTCTAAGTAAGCTCTTGGAACATCTCCTAAAAAATGCTTTCTACAGTATCGATGAATTGCTGAATGGTATAACCCAGACCACCCTCCTGGTTGAATAGCTGACTCTGCTTCTCTTGGTACTACTGAGGTAATTCTAGCCCTCTCTCGAAATTTGTAAACAATATTCTGTGCTTTCGGATTGTTATCTTAGAAATTTAATACTTTTTAGTTGATTAAAAAAAACTTTATTGTACCTGAATTGACCTATACTATAGCCTCACGGCTCCCGTGTATCAAAATGTAATAAATAAATAAATAAATGGACGAACTTTTTTTCTTATTCTGCAGGTTTGCTCTAGAGAAGAGAGGAATATCCTAAACTCGCGTAGTAAACAGTCAGATTTGCTGCTGCAGAAATTGTACGACAAGGAAAGGCCTGTAGACTCTGGACTGGATCAAGCCATTGCCCAAAGGGACAAGTTACTGGAATATGATAAAACAAGGTAAAGTATAAGTACGAAAGTAGAAGCAAAGGGGTTCCCAAAAGTAATTTTTTCCCTGAAGAACAAAATCTCCATTTCTGTTGATGGTCATATTACATGTAACAATGGCGGATGTGAAAAATTACCTTTTCGAAACACGCTTAAAAAACTGTTTTGCTCACACAAGAATTTAATGTGCAGATCTCGAAGATCACATCTCAAGTATTTTCTCAAAAGTTTCTCGATGCCAAAACGGTTTTTTGAATGTGTTTCGAAAAGGTAATTTTTCACATTCGCCATTGTTATATATCAGTTATACATCATATATTGATGGCTAACACCGAAAAAGCGTATTTCAGATTGTGACGCTAAAAGCCTCCAATCATGTTTACTTTTTTTTTAAAAGGAAAACCAACCACCAGTCTCTTTACAATTATTCTATGTAAATCATAGAAAATTGAAAGAAACATTTTGATTCCCTAGCAGAGAATAAATAGTAATCGGAATCTCTTAAGCATTACAATTGAGATATGCCTTTTTTGCATTTAGTCATTCATGCATGACGAGTGGAAATTCAAAAGTTTGTGTCATCAAGTTATTGCTAAAATCGTACAGGTTTTTTTTCAGCGTCAAAGAGCCTAAATACTGTTCCTTCATTGACTTTTCATGAAAAATTTACACCCGCTCAGAAAAAGTATGGGGAAACACCTTTTAACAAGCTCGTTTCCACACCACCTTAGGAGAGACCGATCAGGTAAAGGATACGGTGCTGCTCCTGGAGGTAGAGCTTTCGGCGCGTTTTTTTAACGTGGTATCGCCATGAGCCCTAATCCACGGGGGAGGGAAGAGGAAAGGGGAGAGAAAACAACATAAAACACTTACCAACCATGACGCAGCTCCTTCTGTTACTTCACTGAAAAGCAGCCGTGCCTGCAGAAGACGAAAGTAGTACCCTCCGCAACTGATTATAATAACTAGAAAAAATGAAACGGTATCTTAGAAATGAAACGATATCTTACCTTTGGTTGCGGGAACACCAGCAGCAGCAGCACCTGAAACAGAGAAAAAAAAAAAAAAAAAAAAAAAAATTCGACGATCCCGGTACGACGGTGTCCGACGATCCTGGTACGACGGCGTTCGACGATCCTGGTACGACGGTGTCCAGCAGCAGCGGCCTCCCCCAACCCCGGCTTCCAGGTTCCTTTCCCACCTCCTCCCTTTTTTTTTTTTTTTTTTTTTTTTTTTTTTTTTTTTTTTTTT